CGTAAATCGATGAACGTACCATCGTTGATACAAATAGATCAGAAATATCACATCATCTCGAAGGCAAGCGATCCGATGCGACGTGGGCATGGTGATAATCATGGCGAAGAAGTCGTCGATGAATGTATTGAACGCCTGGAACAAGAAAGTTCTCGTGGTTAGTTTACTCTATCAACTCCATCAGCGACCATTCAGAGATGATTCGGAGAAGCAAACGGTCACGGCTATGTTGTGGTTCAAGCATAACAATAAAATATGGCTAAATGGGTAGGAATTGTGGCGATTACGGTGCTCTCATTGGTTGGTGGTCCGTTGATATGGTTTATCGATTGGACGATCAGCTGATCAACCAAAGTGCGCGGAATGCTGTTTGAACCACACCGTTTTTCATCAAGCCCGACACATGATAATGAGATTTCGTCTAACAAAGACAATCTATTGTTACGTTGCTAAGTGTATCACAAAATACAATGTGTGTAAGATCTTGAGGTTATTCATGGATGACTGACACTGGTGGGTTTGATTGAATCTAATTCTGCAGTGCCAAGTTATTCTTACTCCGGTTTCCATCCAGTTTGGTGGCGACGAGTTTGTGGATGCGGTTGAAAAACCTGTTCTAAAGGATTTTACGCTCGATTTGAGGACAAACCAAATACGACGCGAATCGGAGCGGCCATCTAATCTACATCCTGAATGGTAGGTTCCCGTAGACAGGTGTTTCAGGGTGAATTACAAAAACGGGTCTCCACATATATAAAGACAAACCATTGTCTGTCAGGTAATTCGGCATAAACTGTCCCCCGTTTGTCATAAGCAGATAAGGAATGATAGTGTACAGGGATGGTAAGATTATCCGATCTTTGCCCTCGAATTACGGTCAGAGAGAACATGAGGGAATCAAGTGTCACAAAGCATTCGTCGACCGAACTAAGAGTACTGGCAACGGGCAGCTGCATGCTGCATTATGCCAGAAGGGCACCCTCCGACTATTTAAACAGTCTGTCCACAAGGAAACTTCCCGTCTACGTCCAGGACAAAAAAGTTGAAAAACTATCTTTACGAGAATGGTCCCTACATGAAAGCCTACAAAGGGAGGAGTATAAATGTATAAAAATTAACTGTGTTTATTGCACCTTATGAACCGTTTGGAAACCACAACGAAACAGAAATGGCAAGTGGACCAATCAGGTCAAAGTAAACACAGGTACCCAATAGACCAATCAGATGACATTCGGACCGGTTGGAAAGCAACACATAAGGAAAGCAGAATGGACCAATCGGAATAAAAGAACAGGACTACTGAAATGGAACTACCCAACGGACTACCCAAACGGCGAAATAATCAGATCGAGAAGGAACACAAAGCCAGAAAGGATCGATCAAAATAGGTGAAACATAACTTCCGAACAACCAATCACGTTGCGGATAGTAAACACTTTGGAAACTATATAAACGCAACGGAGATGAAGAAACCACCCACCCAACCACACGGTGACAAAACGCGTGCAAGCCAGTTGCCTAGCTCGAAGAACAGATTAATTGTAACCTGATCAACAGCCTGAAAGCATGCCTTCTATTCATGGATTCCGGATGGGTTCAGGAGCAGTCCACTACTGGTTCTCATCCAGTCTTCCATTCTTACCTGACACCGCATAAGGACTCGAAATCGTGAAGTTCAGTATAGTAGGAGCTCAGATCGAAAAACTTTAGACACGATAGTTTCGCTGCTTAGCTCTGTGGTTGGCAGAGAAGTCAAACACGGAACTGCGTGTCAATGTAGGGGGGAGACACGCAATGAGGCCTGAACAATCAGTTCGACTAATGCCAAAAAACTTCTGAGCAAAAGTGGAACTAATCTGCCCCTAGAGGTTACAGAAAGACCGTACAGTTCACCCTGGTAACTGGGAGATAAAAAAGACCGTACAGCCCTGGTAACTGGGAGATAAAATGAGCGCGCTCACCTTGTACGTCAAGGCCTTCCAAGGCAAATGAGCCACTGATTTCAGCCGATAATTGATGAATAGTTGAGGTGTCATGAACAGGAAACCGAAGGCATAAACTCCTGTGTGTGGTGTGAGGAAGAAAGAGCAAATTATCAAACGAACAGAAGGCAATTGTCATGGTCGATTAAACAACTTTAGAGGCACGCTGAAATAAGCCCACCCTAGTTCCGCAAGCGGTCAACCACCCAATGGAAGAAGAAGTAGGGTAAAAGATGGCTCAAGTGGTTAGAACGCGAATTTACTGACCAGAAGGTCCGTGGTTCGAACCCGACCTCCGTCTCTCGACTTCCCCTGTCTAGGCTTGGGCAACCTGCCTGGGCAACCCAGGCCTCGTGTTTCCTTCGGGTAGCATGGCAGCTAGGCACCGGAAGGTGTTACAACTGATAGAGGGTAAGAGATGTCTGTGCAGATATTGGAGATGTGATAAGTACTCAGAGACGGTCAGCCACCGTGCATGAGTGAACACAGTGCGAGAGTTTCACGAAACCAGATTACCGTCTTCAGGAAAGACCACCTGAGTACCATACTTTGAACAATGACATTCTGATGAAAACTAACGATCCCACATACGCATGTCAAATTTCCAATTTGAAACTGTCTTTGCTCGGTGGGTGGGTCACCCACTCAATTTTGTAAGCGGTCTTAACAGGATTCGGGACTGACAGGGTCTCCCTGAATGGAGATCAACATGTCCATTTCACAGTCCGTCCGGCAGATTCGATGGACATCCCTATCCGACTCGAAATACTCGAGTCCTTAACGTGATTTGTCACCATTTGTTGGTGGGGCTTGTACACGATGCTGTTTGGCCAATTAAAAGTCTTCCATCTACTCATGTTAATAGGGACCGACCAGATATCGGTCGCAGATGTACACGCATGTACCAGTTGATGACCGCGCATGAGTTCAGTTCTCGAATTTCAGTGGTGAAAAGATCACTGTGATGCAAAAGTGCACTCTGGTGAGTTGGTGTCCATTTCCAGATTAGCCTGTCATATCGCGACCATCGCCGATGGGTACTTCCACATATGGTCGCGCCTTGTACCCGGTGTAGACCCGAACGAGAGTGGAACAGGGGGGGGAGTTCCAGAGGGTTATCGCATTCCAAACTATTGGCCCATGATTGTCGATTCAAGTGAGGGGAACTGAGCCTCATAGTACATGCGAAGGGGCACCTGGCGGTTCACACACACACACACACGTACGCATAGGACCAACTAGTGTAAGCCATCAATCAAAGACAGCAACATCAGTGTTGCCCACTGGTGCTTCACTGCCGTACAACCATAAGGTTTGTCTAGTTATATATATATAT